ACTGGAGGTAGAAAGGACCCTCCCAACTGTCCCCCTCCCCAAGCCATGTGGTGGGTCGAAGACACCTCTAAGGCAGCCCAGACTCCAGCCTGGCCTGGGGCTGAGAACGCTGGCTTCCCAGGGGTGGCTGTGGTCTGAGTTCTGGTTGCTGCAGGCACTCCCCCCCCCGCCCCCCCAGGTCTGGCCAGGTCAAGGGGACCCCCAGAGCTAGGTCCATCAGCGCCTCCAAACAAGAGAATGTGGTCACAGCAGCGCCCACGAGGGGCTGGCAGCCTTCTCCCCGGGTACCCACCTGGCCCCTCGCCCACCTTGTCCGAGGGTGCAGACCCCAGAACAGAGCCCAGTCCCGGAGAACCAGCCTGCCAGGCAGATGGGGAGGGGAGGGAGGGGGCGCGGGTCACTTTGGCATCTCCAAGGCGGACACCTGAGGCTTCACTTTGAAGTACTGGTTGAATCGGATCACTGCGTACCTGCGAAGACAGGGGAGGGAGCTGGGGTGAGGAGGGGAGCCGTGCTGGGGCTCACACAGCCGCTCCCCAGCGCAGCCCACCCAGGTCCGGGCAGGTCGACCCAGCCCAGGCTGATTTTTTTTTTTTTACTTCAATTATAATTTTACTTTCTTCTCAGCACAGACTAAACCTACTCTTCTCCAACAAGGTCATTTTTGATGTTCTGCAGTTCAGCAATGTTAAGTGCATTCATACTGTTGAGCAACAGATCTCGAGGACTTCATTTTACAAAACTGACACTCTATACCCCTCCAACGGCAACTCTCCCTGTCCCCGCCCCAGCCCCTGGCACCACCACTCTACTTTCTGTTCCTGTGACGTTATCCCATAGAGTGGGATCCTACAGTTTCTGTGTTTGTAACTGGCTTATTTCACTTAGTACAATGTCCTCAGGTCCATTCGTGTGGTAGCACGTGATGTGATTTCCTTTTTAAGGCTGAATAATGTTCTAGTGCATGAATTCACCACATTTTGTTGACCCATTCATCCATCGATGGGCATGGGGTGCTTCTACTCTTGGCTATTGTGAAAAATGCTGCCGCGAACATGGGCGTCAAGGTACCCCTTTGAGCCCCTGATTTCACCCCTTCTCCCCAGCAGTGAGCTTGCGGGGTCACACAGTCACTCTAATTGTTGAGGAAGAACAGTATCGCTTCCCACAGTCGTTGCACGTTTCTCCGAGTCCTTGCCAACACTTATGTTCTGTTTATCTGAGAGTAGCCATCCTGATGGTGATGTAGCTCATTGTGCTTTTGACCTCTAATGGCTGTGGACACTTTGAAACCAGGATGGATGGGGAGGAGACAGGTGAGGAGACTGGACCAGAATGAAGAACAAAGTGATTCCTGGCCCTTAGAGGCATATGTACCCACATGATGTAACCTCCCCACCCCCACCCCGTGGAGTCTGTATCCGAGTAGTGTCAGTACAGCCTGCAGCGCATCCCTGGGGGCCACTGAAGGAGGAGTGGGTCTGACAGCCCCCACAGCAAGCACGAAACCACCCAGTGGCCTCAGCAAGTCACTTCCACTCGGGAATGCTGACCCCTCTGCTAAGGAATGACGGCTGGGCTCATGACCTTTCAGGCTGATTTGCAGCCACCCCATTCCCCACCAGCCCCGTGGCCAGGGCCCTAGAGCTGCAGGAGGAGGCAGGGAAAGTGTAATCACCCGCCCGCCAGGCAGGGCAGGTGCATGGAATCCAGGCTCCTTCTAGAGCTGCACCTGCTGCTGACCTCCTCCGGAGCACTGACTCCTGGACCTGGCTGGCTGGTGGGGA